GTGGAGCGCGGTTCGGCATTCTCCGTCTGTGAGGTGTGTAGCAGCGCCATGGCTGTGGAGAATCTTGATAATCTCTATGTAGCCATGGCGGGAGGCATAGAGAAAGGGAGTGTGGCCGCTATTGTTTGCGGTATCAACATGTGCTCCATATAAGAGAAGGATAGACACGATATTGGGATGGTTTGCGTAGACAGCGGCGTGGAGGGGAGTATCACCGTCAATATCTTTCATGTGGGGGTCTGCTTTGTTAGAGAGAAGGTATTCTACGACTTGCAGGTTACCAGCATTACATGCTTCATGAAGTGGTATTTCGAGCAATTGATCTTGACAGTTCACGTCAGAACCTCGCTCAAGGAGCAGCTTAACAGTGTCGAAGTGACCGTTTTTACACGCCATGTGAAATGGAGTCTCTCCTTCGTTATTCAGTGTTCTAAGTGCTTCGGGGCCTGCCAAGTCGAGAAGAGTAGCTATACCCGAAACCGAAAGCCCTTGCCATGCAGCTTCATGGATGGGTGTATTTCCATAATTATCGCGGGCATGAACATTACCGCCTGCGTTCAATACGAGACGGAAAATGTCAAGCTGTTTATTCTCCCCTTGGACAGTGTAATGGAGCGGTGACCAGCCCCATTTTGTATTTCTGTGGTTGACTGGACAGCCAGCTTTTAGGAGTGCCGCCACCACCTTGGGGGCATTAAAGCAACACGCCCAGTGAATGGGCGAGCTACCAAAAGAATCCAAGCGAGTAGGGTCCGCTCCTTTTTCTAATAATCTCTCAGCTGTATAGGGAAGGTTGTAAGACGCTGCTAGGTGCAGAGAAGAGCTATAACAGTTGGTGGAGATGCTCAAGTTGAAATTACGAAGGGCAAAGTCAACAGTTGCCTTGGAGAAAACACGTTGCCAGGCTTTCAGGTGCGGGGAATCAGTGACTAGAAATTCATCCACAAGTGTGATGAGTTGATCAAGGGATCCCTTTAGCTCATCATCTTTCTCAGCGTCACACAAAAGCGTTGGTAAATATTGGTTCTCAAAAACGCTAAGATGTGACATCCAATTGGTGACTGGATAAACCAATGGATTAGGTGAATGCTCGAGTTGGTATTGCTGAACAGTCTCGTCGTCAATGATGGAACCAGTAAAATCGGTATATAATGCTGTTAATGTCTGACCAGCATGAGTTGAGCAAGCTTCATTGTCCTCTTGTGTCGGTCTCTCATTTGCTTTGCTATATGGTGCCAGGTCCTCTTCGTCCGCTACGAGATCAACGCGGATCACCGCCCGCATCTCATCATTGTTGACCCCGGCGACACTCCTTTTAATAGCTGACTCGGTTTCTACTTGTCCCTGGTCCTGTAGTCCATCTTCCTTTCCCTCCTCCTCCCCTTCCTCTTGATCTTCCTCTTGATCTTCCCATTCATCTTCCTCTTGATCCTCCTCTTGATCTTCCTCTTCCTCTTCTGATTCTTCACTATCATCTTCACCGATGGGCTTGGCCGCCCACCCCCCACTCTCATAGGCTCCACGATTGGTGTCATTAACCTCAATGAAATACTTCTCTCGAAACCTTTCTGAGTTAAGCATCGTGACTAAATGGGTGACACCATGTTAGCGCTCACATTTGGGCAAAATTACATGAGCTGCTCGAAGAAAACGTACAAATTGTCGTACAAGCTACCAGTTCAGCTTTCCTCCTGTTAACTAAACAACTCAATACTGCTTCGTCCTTCGACTTGATTTTCTTTGATGGATCAAGTAGCAAAAATTCTTTAACGCTCAGGTGTGAAAAGCGCACCCTCTGGCTCTCATCCACTTCGATAAGCGATCCACATGCCTCCAGTACCTCATCTGCGGTTTCAGTCAACATCACGTCTTCGATATCAAACTCTACCATGCCTTCAGTTGCGTACAAAATCCCCAATTCGGATAACTTCAGCTCCCTATGTGAGAGTACTAACCACCGAAACAAGGATTGCCTAAAATCAAGAGAATCCTCCGGCAATTTAGCCAATATAAGCTCATACAGCTCATATATTCCGGAGGGAAGTGTAGCAAGTCTATCATGTAATTTTAGTTTCGATGGCTTGGAAAGGTCCTCAAGCATGAGGGTTGCATAGCGGAACATTCCTGCAGACATGCGAACGACAGGCTCAACGATCTGATCTGAGAATCTTTTGAGGCGCGCGTAATCCTGTACTTTAGCTTCCACATACATCCTAATGTCCTCCGAGACCTGAGCAGCACTCATGCTGATTTTGGGCGTAGTGGCAAGTATGGCCTCAATATCTGGTTTCGGGCGACTAGTGCACAAAATCTTTACCATGCACTTCAGATTCCATGCTTGTACCATAGTTAGGTTCTCTAGCAGTTTGGTTTCCTCGCGGTCAGAGCATTCGTCCAAGGCATCAATTATAATGATAATTGTTACATTGTCCTTGAGTAATTCCAGCATGCTTTGGAGCAGTTTCCACACTTCTACTGTCTTTTTAGCATGTGTTCCACCGTCGGAAATACGCAAGCGATCAGCCAGCCTAAGGAAAATATTGTCGGACTCCGCTAGTGAGGTTTGTGGTGGGCTATGATCGAGCAGCTGGTAAACGATATTTCTAGCAAGGTCATTGAATGTCGTAGCATCTGCAGAGCCATCTTTGAAGAAGAAATGGAAAACTATGCTCTTATGCCCTTCTTCGGTTATCATTGGGACAACTGGGTCATTGGCTATACGAGATACCAGAAAAGCAGATAGTACAGACTTTCCAGTCCCTAAGATTATCCAATATAGATAGGTCAGCATATGCCCCATAATGAAAAATAATACCAAGTCTTGATCTCACCTGGGAGACCGGAGACCCTCAATAGGCTGCTCTTTGGCTCACTCAGCCAACTTTGATACGTAGGATCTGCAAGTATCCATGCACATGTCCCAACTTTGTGATTATTTATATTCCTCTCCCGCTCATGATCAGTCTCAATAGGCTTTAGCCACACTCTAACGTTCCTTGCCATTTCCCGTTGCAGTCTTTGTTGCTCCAACTGGAGAGCATCTTCACGCTCCTTGTTTTTCAAAACCTCCTGGTCAAGCATAGCCTGTAAATCAGATACCTGCTGAACCAGAGACACAAGATGAGAATGTGTAGTTTCATGGCCCATGAGAGATTTGGCGGAGTCTATAATGCCACAATATCAGATTAAGAATGAACAAGGTGTAGTATATGAGTTACCTTCCGCCAAAATTGGTGAAGCTTCGCTCCTCAACAAAGCCTCCTTCGACAAAATCGCATCTAAGAGGGGCTGGAACTCAACAAGAAATGGCTTCGCAATGCTTTTGAAAAAACGCTCTATTCATGGTCAGTCAGTCTCTGTCTAATATGTATGTACCAAGACATACTTGTTGCTGAAGTTCCGAAATATTGCCCAACTTTAACCGCAAACAACAAAATCGCTGCATATAATCCCGGAAGCCCATCTAATAGGCGATGCCGACCCCGAGATAGGGTAACTTCTTCATAAGATGGTGGTATATCGTCAATACCATCAGCACCCAACTTGCGGCTCTGAGTCATTGACTCCAAACCGTGGTCTGGGGGGGTATAAAGCGTCTCATATTCTCGGGCTCGTGTCATTATCAAAACCACTTCGTCCATTGCAGCCATGATCTTTCCATATGTTTCTATATCACTCGTGGTCATCTACTCCAGCAAATTAGCAATCTTGTCCAATAACTAGATAAAATTTAGGTAATCACCGTCAAAATTGTGCGTAAACTCCCCCATATGATTCCTAAAGGTACGAATGCCTGTCCGCTTGATACTGCCTGCATCATTGGATCCGCTACATTTGCATATAACACAATATTCTGCAATAAATTGCCAACCTTGTCCCGTAAATACACTTTCTCTGTATCGCCGCCCCGAGTCTCGCGGGTATAACAATATTTCTGTGCCTCACATTCATCACGCTTCCGCGCTGCGGCAGTGAGAACATCAGCTAAATTACCGTAGATTTCGCTGTATAATGGCTTCCCGCCTTCTTTTTCGGGGCCATTGAACAGGAATTGTAACTCTTCCAGCTCCGAGGGCTTCAGGCTTTTGCGGAGAATACCCAAAGCTTCGTCCCACAGCTTGTACTTCGCATCTCTAACTCCACCAGTAGTAGAAGCGACAGTAGATGGCGTGAGAGCAATTCCAGGTTTGTTTCCGTTCTGTTTAGCAACTGACAATTTGTAGTTATCGGCTATGGAGTGGGGGGATGCAATCTTTTTGTCATTGTCAAATTCCACGGACAGGCGAAGTTCCTTCGCAAAACGGAATGAAGCCATGCAGCAGACACGCTACTGGATAATGTACCCTTGAAGGAACGTCAATTAGTGCCCTACACTTATTATCAGGCGTGACGGTTCTCTGTCGATCCGGGAGTGTGGTCCCCAGGCGTTCAATCCGACTTTCAGCGTCTCTTGTTTCTTTGCTGAAGAGCAAGCCAACTCTCATTGAGACCCCCCCTTTTAAACGCCGCCATGCGAGGCCCACTCGTGGAGCCCCACTTGCCATGCATCCATGTAAGGACTTAATCTTCCATATCCAGTATAAAATGTCAAGTACAGTCCATCTTATTGGCTCACGCTCTGGTTGGCCTCAGCTTTTGTCTGTTCAGCCGCCCGGATGATGTATAAATCGACCCCTCTATTATCACTTGCCGCTGTATGCGCACTCGACATGATGTTGTTTGCTAGGATCATCAATCGCAAGCTAGCTGTATTAATGTTAGCTGCCAATTCCTGAGCTTGACTTCAAATACCCTATACCTGACTTCAACGTGTTTACTTTACTCACTAGCTTGTCGACCCATGATCAACCAGAAAGCTTGGTTCGTTAGTAGAGACAGAGTAGTGTAGTTAGGATATACATTAAGTATTCTTACGTTAAGTTTGCTTGTTCACTCGTCACGGGACTGGAAAGTGTTACGTTTATGATATATTATAGCGTAACAAAAATGCTTTAATAATTGGTTCTATGGCGCAATTGGTTAGCGCGTCCGGCTGTTAAAAGCATACTACCTATGCCTTGATGGAACCGGGAGGTTGAAAGTTCGAGTCTTTCTAGTACCGCTACTTTTTTTACCCCGAGACTTAAGTACGCACTGTACATTAAGATCCCATCTGCAGACTGTAGTCTGGAAACCAGGCCACAGACTTTAGATCTATAATTTCCTACTTCTTACTTCTTGCGCTTTCCATCTCATTTAGTTAAACAAGGTTACACGTCTATCGATGCTACTAGTCTGGTTGCAGGAGGAGGGTCGTGCAACCAGACTACGATGCTACATACTTCTCAGACCCTCAGATTAGTCCACGTACGCAAGCCCATTCGCCCTCCATAGCGGAGGATCATCAGAGAATTCGGAGGGAGAAAGTCTTGGTGAGCGTTTATATTCTCTAGTCTGGTGGGCAACGCCTCTGTAGAGAGAGTGATCTCATCTGTTGGGCAAGATCGCAGCTAACTTCAGGTCTCAGACTAGCATATCAGGATTTCTTTTAGCGCTAAGGTAGGCGCTGACGCTCCCTTATCTAAGTAGTCTGGCGGGCACAGGCCTCTCGTACTATCTCTTATCAACGTACTCATTATCTGATTTCTGCAAGGGGTAGTGCAACCAGACTAACCTTCCTTCTAGTGCAATCAGGCTACCTTCTAGCTGGTTGCACAACACCTCGCAACTGATACGCTTAATACCAACTAGCTTAACACAAAGCTATATGAAACAAAAGTCTAGTCTAGTCTTAGTCTGGCGGGCACCGCCTCTCGTAGAGTTCCAAGTCTGGATAGTCTGGTTGGCACAAGCCCCCGCTAGCTACAGTCTGGAAGTCTTGATACCAAAGTAATATTGGTCACAAGCCTACCTCAAAATGTGTCTTAGCTTCTAGTGGGATGAGAAGCCACATGATTGATCGCTCTAGTGCCAACCAGACTAATGATCGATGACAGGAATACCAGTCCAAAAGGGCAGAGTTTCTAGGCAAACATTGAGACACTTGGACGTCCCATCTGGCAATCTCACAATCTCGGCATGTTAATTCTAGCCTATCAAATTCGCTCCAACACCCATCGCATCTCCATGATTCCAGATCGACCGATGTGACAGCGAGTCTTGAAGCAGATGATATGCAGTCCATCTCTCTTGCCGTCTATTCCAGCATCCCGGCTCAATGTGTTTGTGAGGTATGAATATTTCGCTTGGGGAGAGAATGGAGAACAAGCTCTCAAGATCCCCAGTGGAATTGCTTGTTAAATTTGTGAACGGTACAAGTATCCCTGAAAACTCCGCCTCATAATTATAAGGCCAAGTGGGGTTAATAGGCAACTTCATTGATCCAGAGGGTATATATTAGATTGTAAAGGGAACTCGGCGATTAGGTAAGTATATGGACTTTGAGAACTAGAGCACCCCGCCGGGGCGGGAGGAATTACGTATACAGTGCCTCAAGCTCACATTTCCATACATATATCACCGCCTAGCCATGTGGCTTAAGAAACTGGAGTGGAAAGCGACGTACAGAAAAAGCAACCTGATATGTACTTACGTATTTACTGTACCGTACATACAACGAGCTGTTTCGCGGGAACCGTATGCACGTGAAAGAAGTTACTCTATCATAATCCTTGGTCGTGCATGAGTGGGGCTGTCGTTTTCCCCGCATCTTCCAGGTAGACAGGGGTGCCTAGTGCTAATGCTGATTTGATGTTGTATGTGGAATACTTGAGGTATATGCCATCCAATATACGCAAGGATTCGGTTTGGGAATCTCGAGATATCATTAAATTTGAGTATATTCACCTTATTAGTGCCATAGTCTAGTAGAGCTCGGTAGCTAAGCACTCTGAGGTCATAGAACTCGAAGAAAACCAATCATGAGCTAGATAGATTGATTCCAGAGATAGTAATTTTACTCTAATAGCTACTATCTTAGGTACAGCTACTTCCCAATTAAAACGGGCCTTAGCATGCCCAAAGGTCAAGTAAATGGTGAAAATGGGACGTAGAAGATACTGTACATTGACTCGGTACCTTAACCGACTATCAGGCATGGAGTAGCAGGCACTCTACATGTTCAGGATTAATAGGACCTGTATTCTTCAAATCATGTCTAGCAGAAAATTAGGTGTCACACCTATCCCATGGAGTCGTGAGGCCTGAATGGGAGTGGGCCTCATTCGCTCTCGAGTCTCCTCTAGGGATATATATGGTTATAAAATATACTATTTATAGATACAGCTGCAGTCTAGAGACCAAGATATGTGGTAGTCTATATACTGTGTTCTATTGAAAACCGTAGGCTTTGCTGGGCAGCGGGAATTATAGAGCTTCTCGCCAGTCGCACCTGCATAAACTGACATGTTGTGATTGGATCCGAGTCAATGTTTGCTTGTTGCCTGATAACGAGTCGGCCCACAAACCGCAAACACATAAATGTCAAACCGTTTGATAGCGGCAGCAGAAATTAAGATCGCAGCACTGCCACTCCGTCCTGAGGAGTGCAAAAACTCAAAGTCTCTAATTCAGAATTTCAACAGAAGAAGGCAATAGCAATTTCATGGCCAGGGAATCCCTATTAGACAAGTCTTCGCTCGGTGGCGTGCACGGAGTAATACATCCCTGCGCTGAACTATCCCTTCTTCAAAGCGTTTATTTTTGGCCAGAAGCACAAGAAAAACACTCGAGTGTTTGTCCTCCACCGCGGGGTGCTTTGGCGAGAAGTTTACTCTTTCCAGAGTGTATTGCCGGCTTCGAATTTTGGTTTGGGGTTTCTCCGAGCAGTTGGCACCGAGACTGCAGCTAGTCTACGCGCCTCTAAGGCATAGCCAGCCGCGTCGGGAGATATGCAGAGCTCTACAGAGTAGACTTTGCTACTTGCAGGTTAGTCTGGCGGGCACCGCCTCTCGTAGAGACTTGCAGGATAGATTGGATCATCTCCAACTGAGGCACTAATAAAGTCAACCCTAATCATGACGATCGGGACAAACCTCTTAGGAGGGGAACTTCCGTAGGTGCAAAAACATACAAAATAAACCTTTTTTCCCCCTTTGATAACAATGGGGTTACTGGTACACTAGTCTCGTGCCCACGGTACACTAGGGTCTCGTGAACTGCTCATCTGATCGGGTCCAGTTTGTTGTACATCAAAGCCTACGAGGGGTCATGCTACCAGACTACATCAAAGCAGGGAAATGATAAGTGATATTGTTGTTGTCCTTCCCCCTACGAGGGTTGTGCAACCAGACTAGTGCTCCTATGCGTCTCGCCGGTACTTAACTGCAACCAGTCTGGTTGCACGACTCGCCGACGAAGGAGGATTTAGCGGTAACCAGAATAATTTCGATCTGTCTCGTCGCTAACATGTACAGTTGACAAGCTGTAACAAGTACTTATGTACTTATGTACTGTACTTCAACTGCCCCCTCAAGGAACTTACCCTTCTACTTCAGTGGTGGTCATCTTCGTTCACAGTAGTGTACACAAGTAGTTATTCACATGGGCCTTTTTTCTATAAATGTCGGTTTCTATCATATCCCACTCCTGCAAAAACCTTCTGTACAGCACTGCTCTGGAAGTTGAAAGACCAAGGTCACAAATGTAGGCAATGTACAGAGTAATGCATGGTGAAATGCCCATGTCAGTATGCATGGCGAGTACCTGTACTGCAATATCTTTGATGCCTATGGAATAAGAAAAAAAAGGAGGTGCATGAAGCTGGCGTTGGTGAAACATGATAAACCTAACACCTTTGCCTCCTCAGACTCTAAACGTTTCTGCCATTAGTGAGTTGAAGATGATCCGACTGACGAAGCGATTGGATTGGGTAATGCTGGGAGGTCTCACTTGAGAGGTCGTGCTACTCTTCAACTCACGCGTGGCAAGGATACTCTAGCGGTATACTGCCGCCGCAGCGCCTCTCAAATTTCCGACTCTCGAACTTGTCGTTAAAGTTTCTGGTGATCACACCCTCTTCATGAACCTAGTCTCGCTACTAACCGTGCATTTGTCTGGGAGTGGGTCGTCCGGGACTGACTGGGGTGCAGAAGGGGTTGCTGTTGAGTGTGTGCGTGTGCGGTCAGACCTAAGTTCTTGTTCCAACAGGCGGGTTGCTTGGTGCACAAGTGAACCGTTCCGGCCATACATAAAACCTTCTCTCCCGTCCCTACCCCTCCGCTCCTCTTTCTTCTCATCTCACCCTTCGACAGCGAACAAACTTCGATCTTCCGCTCCTTTTATACAACAGCCTCGTCGGAAAGCTACTTCCTTTAATCAGCCTAATACCTTTTAATACTCGCTCCCCACCAATCACACTTAATCGAAATGTCTGAAGTCGAGAACAAGCCTGTTGACGTTCCAGCTGCTGAGCCAGCCCCAGCTGAGGAGACTGCTACTGTCGACACTGTGAGTACACACCACTTCGGCAACTCTTCCTGCGAGGGAATGCTACTTGTGTAATGTCAAGGAGGAGTACTAATGAGAATTGGAATAGAAGACCACTACCGATGCCGCCAAAAAAGTCGACAAGAAAAGTTTGCTCGCAAAATTGTAAGACTACCACTCCCTCCCAACGCTTAGATTTCATGTCACAACCAAACACAAACAATTCCTCCCATTGCTACTTAGCCTACTTAGAATACAGTGCTCACATATCTTCCTATCATAGGAAAGCCATCATTAAGAAGGTTCTCCCGTCCAAGAAGGAGAAGGCCCCTGCCACAACAGAAGAGCCAGCACCCGGGGCTGCCGCCCCAGTGGAGCCAGAATCTGCTCCAACCACCACTGCTGCTGCTTAAGAGTCTCACCATCATCCAACAAAATATAATCTCCGAGCACGTTGCGTTCTAGGTTAATGAAGTCTTCTGGGACATGGATAGACTACGTGAATTGGACTAGGGGGCCATTGGGTGTGTGTGCATTGTGTCTCTGTATCTGTGCGTGTAATTCGGTCGGTTGGTACGGGAGTTCTTTTTTGCTTTTTTTCATGCGAGGTTTGGTCTGTTCTCATGAAGTTAGGCTGGAAGAAAAAAGGGGCTGTTGGGGATGAGATGAGACGAGGGGATGGGCAAGACATTATAG